GCCATACAATTAATTTAATATTAAATGATTTACCTATAAAGCAGTCGACGGAAGTAAGTTTCTTAGGCCTAACTTTCGATAGAAAATTAAATTGGAATGTGCATATTAATACATTACAACAAGCATGTCAAAACCGGTTAAACATACTTAAAATATTATCTAATAAATTTTGGGGTGCCGACTGTAAAACATTAATTAGCCTTTACAAGTCACTTATTAGAAGTAAATTAGATTACGGTTGCATATCTTACGGTGCTGCAAGCAAAACTGCTTTAAAAAAACTAAATAGCATACAATCTACAGCTTTGAGATTAGCACTGGGTGTCTTCAGAACTAGCCCTATTAGTAGCTTACAAGTTTTAGCGAGAGAACCCCCTCTGCATATTAGACGCCAACAACTATCCCTAAACTATATAGGCAAAATATTAGCACAGAAACAACATCCAGTATTCTCCCAAATTTGCCATCCCAGTATTGCTTCTACAAAACTAACTAAAAATAGTACTCCCCTTATAGAACGAATAAAATCCTCCAACTTTGACATGAACAAGCTAAATCGATCTCTACAAGTCAGTGTAAATTTTCCTCCATGGACAATCCAACCAGTTACCATTGACTTAACCCTCACAAAATACCCCAAATCAACTACAAATCCGATTTTCATTAAACACTTGTACTCCGAAGTGATATCTGATTATCCTAATTATCTCCAAATTTTCAGTGATGCCTCCAAAGCTCATGACAGACAAGCTGCTGCATACTATTGTAAATAAACCTCTCACACTATATCCATACCTACTAACTGCTGTATCCTCACAGGCGAGGCCACAGCCATTTTGGAAGCCTTAATTTTCTTCAAAACGCATAGTGAGAATAAATGTGTCATCATCACTGACTCATTAAATGCTCTATTAGGTGTAAAGCAAATATACCCTACAAATCCAATATTTCGGGCTATAAAAAATGAGATAAACAATTCAATCAAATCGAAAAGAGGTAGCATTTATCTGGGTACCGTCGCATGTAGGAATAGCTGGAAATGAGAAAGTGGATAGCCTAGCAAACACAAGTCGAATAAACTCACCATACACAAACAAATCAAGAAATTACCCATACTCCGATCTCAAAAACCTAATTAAAGACCACTGTATGAACATATGACAAGACTACTGGAAAGATTCAGGAACCAAACTATATGAGATTTATCCCCTTGTGAAGACCATCTTGAATAATCCATCCAACAGAAGGGACCAAGTAATAATTAACCGACTAAGAATTGGACACACTGCACTGACCCATAAATTCTTAATCAACAAAGAATCTTCTCCAACCTGCAGAAAATGTTCTCTCCCATTGACAGTGAAGCATATTCTGATTGACTGCCAGTACAACGAAGAAGCAAGAAGAAAATGTGGAATCTCTGATGACATCAAAACCACATTAACCATAAACACTGACCATATAATAAATTATTTAAAAGATTTACGTTTATATACATCTATTTAATGTAAATAAAATGAATTCTTGTGTATGTTACTCCACTAATAACCCTGCGTGGTTGATGTGGATTGTATGTAAAAATAAAAAAAAAATATTATGATAATAAAAAGGAAATACTTTTGTCGTAGCAAAATATTTAAATGTCTTTTAAGATGTAAAAGGCAAAATGTTCGTATAATATTATAATAAGAGGGAAAAATACTTTTGTCGCAACAAAATATTTAAATATTTAAATGTCCTTACATGTAAAAGGCAAAATGTTCGTATATTATAATGGTAAAATTGTCTTTGCACCACATCACTAGGCGTCGTCTTCGACGGCGACGTCGTCTCTAGGAGGTGGTGCGGGACGGATGTCATCTACGTGGATCAGCCGGTCGATGTCCTGGTCTCGGTGGACTTCGTAGGTGTGGTTACCGGCTGCCCTGATGACTGAATGGGGGCCTGTCCAGGTTTCTCCGAAGTTGCCCTTCTGGTGGTTCCTCACCAACACTTGTTGGCCTGGTAGGTATCGTGGAGGCTGTCGAGCATCAGGATTGTCCGGGAACAGGTTCCTGGCGTAGACCGTGGCTTTCTGGACGGCTCGCTGGACACGCTGTTCTCTTGTCTCTCTTCGATTGGCTTCGAAGTTGGACTCCTGTGCTCGTCGTGGTCGGTACCCTAGGAGGAGTTCTGCTGGGGTTTGCCCTGTGGAGTCGTTTCCCCTGGTGCGGAGGGTGAAGACGATGTCTCCGACGTATGTGTCCCATCGGGGGTCTTCCGGTGAGGACACTCTGGCTCGTAGTCCCTTCTTTAACTCTTGGACTCTACGTTCGACGGGGTTGGCCCTCTGATGGTAGATGGGAGCTTTCTCGTGCTGGATGTTGTGGCGACGTAGAAACCTCTCCCATGTGTCAGTACGGAATTGGGCGCCATTATCCGTGATGATGATGTTAGGACGCCCCCATCGGTTGCAGATTTCGTCCTGGAGGAAGGAGATGACGTCACGGGACTTAGCTGAAGTGGTGCATCGGTATTCGACCCAGTTACTTAGACAGTCGGTGGCCAAGAGGATGAAACGGTTCTTTGTTCCTCGAGCAGGAGGATAAGGACCTAGAACATCGAAGGACATCCTCTCCCATGGGTTGGTAGGGGCCCTCATGACTATCGGAGCTCTGGGTTGACGCTTGGAGGCCTTTGTTGTGGCACACTTCAGGCAGGTTCGGACGTGGTGTCTGATATCTTTCGACATAACGGGCCAGTAGTAGATTTCACGAATGGCTCGAGACGTCTCTTCTTGTCCCGGATGGTTAGCTTCCTCACTGTCATGGTAAACTTGCACAACCTCAGTTCGGAAGCTACCAGGGACTAACAGTCGTCGAGAACCATTCTGGATGTAGAAGACTGTGTCATCTTCGACGAGGAACTCCTCGACGAGGCTTCTCTCAACTTCGTCACGTGGCTGCCTGGCTTGTATGCGGCGCCAGCGACGAATGAAGCGCTGCACGCTGGGGTGGGTGCGGTGTGACCTCTGGATGCGTGTTTGCAGCGGCATGTCGTTGAGATCGTCGAGGATAGGGTGGTTGTCACCTTCTTCCTGGTCGTCTAAGAGGCACAGTAGTGGGAAGGTGTCGTCTTCCGTAGCGATTTGTTGTGGCCACGTTATTCTTTCGACTTCGACGTCGGGATCATAGGGCGTCTCCTCCTGGGTGGTAGGATGACGAGATAAGTGGTCTGGAAGCTGATTATCTTTGCCAGAGACGTGGATGACTTGGAAGCTGAACTCTTGTAGTAGAAGAGCCCATCTGGACAGCTTGGCTTTGTCGGATTTGTAGCGATCAAGCCAAAGGAGTGCTTTGCTGTCGGTGTAAAGTGTGAACGGCTGGTCCTGGAGGAAGTGTTTGAACTTTCTGAGGGCCCAAACAACTGCCAGACATTCTTTCTCGTTGATATGGTACCGCTTCTCAGCCGACTTGAGTTTGGTGGAACCATATGCAACGATTCGTCGATTCTCGGGTTCACCCTGGAATAGGACTGCTCCTAGGCCTATCTCAGACGCGTCCGTCTGGAGGCTAAATGGTTGGCTGGCATCTGGTCGGTGGAGTTCCAGATTGTTGGCTATGCAGTTCCGATGAAAGACCTCAGTTGTTTGACTGAAGTTGGTATGGTGAACCCTTGGATCTTGTCTCGGTGCCTGTCCATCGGTTTGGTGTTGTCCGATGTGATGGTGTGCCCCAGGTAGTTGAGTTCTCTGGCGGCAAATTGGCACTTCTTAAGCGACACCCATAGGCCATGGGTGCGGAGACGTTCTAGGACCAGGTGGAGGTGTCTTTGATGTTCCTCCCAGGTGGACGAGTAGATGATGATGTCGTCCATGTAAACTTTAACAAATTCATCCACGTAGCGGGCGAAGACGGTGGTCACCAGCTTCTGAAATGCAGCAGGTCCGTTTTTCAACCCAAATGGCATCACCGTGAATTCAAACTGGGAACCGTCAGGGAGGCTGAAGGCTGTCAGTGGTTTGGATTCCTCGGCCAGCGGTATCTGCCAGAAGCCGCTCTTCAGGTCGAGGGTGCTAAAAATTCTTGCCAAACCTAGCTCTTTGATACTATCTTGGATCGGTGGTAGGTTGGAAACTTCATCCACGGTGATGGTGTTGATTTTTCGATAGTCCACGCAGAATCTGGGGCTGCCATCCTTCTTTGTGACAATGACTATCGGACTGTTGTACGGACTTTTGCTGGGACGTATTACGCCCGCCGAAAGCATATCCTGGACCTCGGAATAGATGGTCCTTTTCTTTTGTGGGCTGTATTTGTAAGGCCTCACATTGATAGGCGTTGAATCGGTCAGCTTAATGGTCATCTGAGCAGCCTTGGTGGTTGGCTGTCGGACTTTGTCGTCGAAGACGTCGTCGTAGTCTACGAGAAGTTGTTTGACTTTTTCTCTCGCAAAGTCTGGGGCCTGGTCTTCGTGAAGAAGGTGGACGGTGTTCGTGCTAGATGGTCTAGTAGTCGACTCCCAAAACAAGGTGTGGCGGCTGATGGTCCCTACATGAAGACACTTCCTGGTGATATCTATCAGGACGTCTTCGGACTTTAGCCATGGCATGCCAAGTACCATGTCGTGGTTGAGATCGTCTACTAGGTGGCAATGAACTCTGCTAGACAGTTGGTCGTTGAAGATGACGTCCACGTCTACGGTTCCCAGACTTCGGAAAGAGTGACCTTTTAGGGCTAGCTGGACCTCGGCGGGCTTGTCCTGCACCATATCCCTCTCGATAAGGCCTACACTGATGAAGTTGGCAGTTGCACCAGTGTCTACCATGGCCTTTATCCTTACTGAGTTGATCTCTGCGGCGATCTGGGGTGACGGTGAGGATTTACCAGATGTTTGAAGCGGGTTCAGCTGGGGCACCAGTCGCTCTGGACTTAGTGCACGTTGGTGCCTCCCTCGGAGTTTCCCTGGTTTGGGCGTGGAGGCTGATTGCGGGGTGGAGGTGTTGGACGTCCTCCCTGCTGTTGATTGTGGTGATTGTTGCCGTTGTTGCGGTTAAATTGGTTTGTGTGGTTGTTATTCCCGTTGTTGCGGTTAAAATGGTTGCTACTGGGGTTATTACCGTTGTTGCTACGGTTGTTGCCCCTGTGACGCCAGTCGCTGAGGGTTTCCGTCTGTCGAGGACGGTCTTGACGTGGTGGATGCTGCGGACGGTCCTGCTGATGTTGTGGAGGACGGTCCGGTTTGGGAGCTGGTCTGTCTTGGCGTTGGCTGACAGTCGGAGTGGTGTCCTTTATGTCCATTTCCAGCTCATCCACTGTGCGACGTAGTTCCTATTCACTACGTGGCGGATTGGCCCTCAGGAACTGACGGATCTCAGGGCGCAACTGATCAATAATGATCCTACACCTGTTTTCATCGGGTGTAGCGGGTGCCACACGGTTAAACAGGGCCATCTTGTGGGTTATGAAGTCGGCCGCTGTTTCCTGCTTCTGCCTATGTCCATATAATTTAGCCAGCAGTCTCGTGTATCTGGAGGAGTGGCTGTAATGATCGACCAACCGCTTGAAGAAGATGTTGTGGTCGAGTCTTGCATCTGCGTGGGTTGTTGCCCACGTTGCAGCGTCTCCTTGTAGTCCATGCTCCAGGAGGTACGCTGTCCAATGCCGTTCTTCAATCGCCATATCTAGGAGGTGCTCTGTTGCAACGGCAGCGAACTCTTCGGGGCTCTCATGCTCCGCGCCGCTGAATTTCTTCAAAGCCGGCTTCCATCTCGGAGTAGGGGCCGGTGGTGTTGGAGGATGTTCTATCTTAGGTGCCTGTTGTTGCTGGGCGAGGGCTAGGGCTGTCACAGCCTGAGTGAGGGCTGCTAACATCTGTCCGACATCTAGGGTGGTCGGAATGCCTGCAGTTGCAGACGGAAGTGGGGCTGAAGTGGCCGGCTGGGTTGCCGCGTCGGGAGCTGTTCCTTGAAGCTCTGTATCCACAGGGTGTGGTGACGTTCGTTGAGGTGGTTGGGCGCCATGTCGATGACCAAGGGCCTCCGGAAGGGAAGAAGGCTGGTCCATCGCTCTGTCCGTTGCTGTAGATGACCTTAGGGTATAAGGCTCCCGGTCAGTGGCCATAGATATCGTCTATGGTCACTCAGCTAAGGATAAAAGTGGGTTGTATCACGTACTAGTGATGTTAGTAGAAAATAAAACTCACCGGTAAAGTTTATTAAATGATCATAAAGTAATAAGCAAATATCAGAGGTGAGGTAGGGTTAAAACTCCAAAATAACGTTTATTTGTAATAATAATAAGCAGTCATCAAAGGTAAAGGGAGTTGTAAAACACACACAATAAAGTTTATTAGCAATAGAAGATAATAAGCAATTATTAAATGTTAAATAGTAATACTAAGATTCTAAGCCTAAGAATCTGTAAGAAAAAGGGAATAATTGGCTTTAGATACAATCTATAAGACAATTATACCAATTAGGCTTAAACTAAGAATCTGAAATAAAATATACGATTAATCTACACACCTAAAGTCATAAAAGATCACAAGTGCAAATTAGTAAATATGGAGAAGTCTCCAGGAGGTCAAAAAAATTAAGAGTATGAAGGAGTAGAGATACAACCCTAAAAATAAGTGGGATTTGTCAGGCGTAGTGCCATTCGGACAAATCAACAATAAAAAGGATCAAAAGTCAACAACCAAAATAGTTATTAACAATTTTATGAAAAGTTTCATCAAAACTTTTCTAAGTCGCTGAGACCAAAATCAAAATAAGAGTTTTTTATATACCAAAAATCTTTCAAAGTCCCTAGATAAAAGAAAGAAAATAAAACATTACAAGTTATTTGTATAATAAAAATATTTCAAAGTCCCTAGATAAAATAATTAAATAAATCGTAAAATATTACAAGTTATTTTATAACGAAAATATTTGTAAAGTACCTAGATAAAAGGAGGAATTAAATAAATCGCAAAAATATCACAAGTTATTTTTATACGAAAATATTTCAAAGTCCCTTACATAGATAAAATCTCGAAAAATATTACAAGTTATTTTTCGAACAAAATCTCTTCAGAGTCCTAGAAGGAAGAAATAAAATGACAGAAATTTCACAAGTTATTTTTATCTGAAAATATTTCAAAGTCCCTTACATAAACAACATCTCGAAAAATATTACAAGTTATTTTTCGAACGAAATTTCTTCAAAGTCCTAAAAGGATGAAATAAAAATACCAAAAATTTTACGTTATTTTTTTATGCAGAAATTTCGGCAAAGTCCCTAAAGGAATAAAATCTCGAAAAATATTACAAGTTATTTTTCGAACGAAATTTCTTCGAAGTCCTAAAGGATGAAATAAAATTACCAAAAATTTTACAAGTTATTTTTATATAGAAAATTTGGCAGAGTCCCTAAATATGCATTAAAATAAAGGCAAAATATTTCAAAGTCGATAAGGATTAAATATTAAATATAAAAAAAATAAAGTAAAAACTTACAAGTGTTTATCGTAGGCACCAGCTCATCAAACGATTAAGTCTCGCGTAGGGACTTAGCGTGCTGAAAGAGAAAATTCCTTACATGAAACAAGTTACCCTTTTAACAAGGGAGAAATCTCCTGATTTCTTCTAAGTTTTAAGATGAAATATTCAGAAAATCCGACTAAGTCGAAATTCCCAAATAAATCAAAATAAAATGGCCGCGGTTTGATACAAACCGACAAAGTTTCGCCTTGGAACTTTGTCAAAAAGCTGAAAGAAAAGCACTAGATAAAAATAAAACAACTATTGAGTCTCTAGGAACTTAGTCAACCAGAGGGTCTCGTATATGCCTAAAAGGCTGGTTCTGAGGACCTGTCCTTACCAGAACGAACTTCTGGGCATCGTACACCTATATTTATATGAAAAAATTGAGGACAACTGTAACCGTCGTTAACGGACTTTTTAGCTAAATTATGATTGGTTTGTACGATACCAGAATACAGATTTTTCCAATTATGATTGGTTGCAATTATTTTGCAAATTGACCAATCACAATTTTGGAAAAATCTGGCGAAGGCGACATCATGAACTGACCCAAGGTAACCTATGAATACATCCCTTATTTTTCTTTTGTGATACCACTTGTAGCTAAAAAAAGTTTCAAATACAGTTTTAGTTGTATATTCTAAACATTATGATACACATAATGGTTGTAATTAAAGATAAACAAATCGATACCTTAAAGCTCAGATATACTAGGGTAAGTGCACTAGTAATGGACACCCAAGAGAAAATTTTGTACTATTTTTATTCGTTCTAATGAAGTATTTGACTTACAATTTTTTTACTGTGCTAGGATACTAAGAAAGGTATATACTTTCATATACATCCAAGTAAATAACTAAAAAAAATTGTTTTTCCAAAAAAAAATTTTTGCTACACAAATGCCAAAATCGCCAGTAATCACTGCGTTACATTGCTGAAATTTTTAACAACCATTCAAAAAAAAACATAGCAAAATGTAAACTTATGTCCCATGGGCGTAGCCGGGGGTTTCGGGTTTCAACCCCCCCCCCCCCACTAAAAGTTAAATATTAAGATTTATAAAATTTTTCTTATGAATATAAGGGTTTCACTTAAAAATTGTATAACGCACTTTAAAGAAAATTAGATAGTTCTGGTACTGAGTAATAACCCCGTTTGCCTTTAACTAATGGTTCCCTTATAATCTTTTTAATGTCCTCATAAAAATAAAATAATACATCTTCTTTTTCTAGCCATTTCCAGTCATAGCCTGCTTTTTCCATGACGAAACTTCTGCTCCTTCCTGTTTAGCTTTTATCACTTTTCCTAGAACAAAGAAAAATTTTGATCATTAAAACATAATTCTGTTAGGAGACGGAAACAACAAATATATTATAGTTATAGAATGTTACCTGGATAAAGATTTCCATTGTATTTGATAATAACAAAATCCCCATCATGAATATTCTTCGTATAATTTTCAACATCACTCGCATCTAGATCTTCATCACAGTAAGGAACTTCATCGGCAAAAGATTCAGATTCGCTTATTACTTTTCTCTTTACTGCAGGCTTTTTTATTTTAATTTGTGATTGTTTTGAAGGGCCACTTTTAGACGTTATATTATCATAATGGGCCCTGTAAAGTGTAGTGGATACAACTGCTGGAAATATTTTTCGTTTTCTTTTGGGTAGTTCTTTTTCAGGAGTCTTAGGAAAAATGAGACAATTTTTGAAAGGAGTGCTAACCACATATCCTTGGTCTTCTTTGTCCTTATACAGCGCAACGTTTTCTAATTTATCCGGTGAAAGAAATGACTGAAACATTTAGTGAAGTAGTACTTTTATCTTGTAAAATAGTGCTGTTCCCGTTCTGTGACTGTTCTTCATTTGGAAGAATTACACTCTCTTCTCTCTGCTTACCGTTTGGAGTTGCAGTTGACGCTGTTGGAACTGAAAACGATATTGACATTTCTTCATTTCCTTCCATTAAATTAGAGTCATCCTCCCCAGTGACATGTTTATGTTTATTTGTTACTAATAAAGCTTCATTTTTAAATTCTGCCCAAACCTCATAAAGTTTCTTAAATTGTAAGTCTCCCTTCCAGTCATCTTTATTGTCGAAATTTGTTCTGAAATGATTCAATTCAAGTGGTGGTATTTTTTTCTCAAGTTCGGATAATATATTCCCTTTTGTAATAATTGTGTTTTTAATATCTTATAGATTTGTAGGATCTACAACTTGCCGAGTGGAAACACATTTGGTGTAATCAACATTGCTTTATTAAAAAGGAAACAGTCCACATTTTCTAAAACCGTTGCGTATTGTACTTTCTGTTGCATATTTGTTAAAAGCCGTACTTAGAATAGTTGCAAATGTATCCTTTGTTACATCCTTCGGAAAGTTTTCAAATTTCCATGTTCTTACTATTGTCTGCCAACCAGTTTTTAAAGGTTTAAAAATTGAAACATCGGCTGGTTGGAGAATATGAGTGGCGTTGGGGAAAAGAGCAACCAGGATGATACCACTTGCTTCACATAATTCGCTGACTTGTTTAGTTAGGTGGGACCTATGTCCATGAAAAACAAAACAGGTTGTGGTATATTTTTTTCTTTGAGATAGGGCAAAAAATGGTTGCCGATATACTCATAAAATACTTCCGAGTTCATCCATCCGGAGTCTGATCGTCCCACTGCCCATTCTGGTGGTGCAGAATTAACTATATCCTTTGGTATTTTTTTATACGGATATATGACCATTGGTGGAACTGTGATACCATCGGCTGAAAAACAGGCCATAACAGTTATTTGCTCTTTTTCTGCATTAGATTTTCTCTCATAAAAGTCTTCTTCCAATTTCGCCGGCCCAAGGACAATACCAGATTTAGGATCAAGGCTAAACCCGGTTTCGTCTGCATTGTATATCCTATTTGGGTATTTTAGTATGTCAATCATACCTTCTTCTTTTAAATAGTTTTCAATTTCATTAAACCATTTTTCTATATCAGCTTTAGAGACGGCAGCTCTTGATTTTGCAATAGACTCTGCTCTTCGTTTTTTATCTCCGGATGTCTTCGAAGAAAAGCAGCGAATCAAGTTTTCCTGGGCATCCCATCTTTAAAAACAGTCGACCTCCCAGTTTCTTTCATAATTTTATGCACCGTGGAGAGTAGATTTGTTGCATTAACATGAATGCCCTTTCTGCCCATAGACCAGATCCAATTAGCTAATAATTTCCTCTTCGCCTTCTGAAAGAATAGTTTTAGGACCCATTTTTCGTTTAAGACAATTGTTTTTAAGTCTACGCTTTAAGGTTGTTCTAGGAACACAAAATTCTTTAGCTGCACATTTTTTGGACATGCCTTCATTTTTTACTGCGTCCATAGCAAGGCTCATTTTATCTTCCGTCCATTTAAAAAAAGGCCTTTTCTTTCCTCTCTGGGTATCCATGTCTATAATAATAAGAAATTACAGATTACTTTAAATTCTTTAAAGCTCTAAATTCGAAATGGATAAAGAGACCATTAATGTGTGTGTGTGTTTAAGGTTGTTCTAGGAACACAAAATTCTTTAGCTGCACATTTTTGGACATGCCTTCATTTTTTACTGCGTCCATAG